CTCTGCAGCAGGCGCTTCAGGTCCTCCTCAGTTTCAGCAAGCAGGGTTGTGTCATCCGCATAACGCAGATTGTTGATAAATCGTCCACCAATTGACCCTACGTTTCTCCTCATAGAGCCCAGCCTCCCGGATAATCTGTTCTGCATATAGGTTGAAAAGGTATGGCTAGGAAGTACAAAATAACTAATTACATTTCAATGTAAAGCATTTTTAGGAAAACGGGAGAATCCACAAAATCCTCACCTTTGAAGCCATTTAGTAAGGCAGGTCCCAGAGCAGTGAGCAGATCTACCCACAGAACTGCGATCAGAAGCTCTTTCCCATTCACCTGCTCAGGCCATTTCCCACGGCTCATTCAGAAACCCTGGTCCCAGTGTGGTGCTAGGGGCTGGAGCACGGAGACCAATAACCCACAAGGCCTACTTCCTAAGTCCCCACAGTGCAGACAGACAGGTACCTAGACAGAGAATTACAGGACGCATTGCACCCAGCATGCAGACATCCTAGCTTACTGAAACAACAAGGCTCGTACAAGCAGGAGGGGAGACAAGGGGAGCAAGAGGGTTATGGGGGAGCCGACCTGAGTGACCAGGGAAAGGAAGAGAGCAAACACTTAAATGAGAGGGGTGAAAACGACTCAGGGAAACGGCAGTGTCCTGCTCAGGTCCCAGTGCTGGACGCCTCCCCTGTCCTCGCTGTGGGTCTTGCAGGGCTGCAGAAATGTCGCGTCCCCTCTGCTAAGGCCTCCTTTTACATGAGCCTCTGGGAGCGCCCTGCTTTCTCTGTGCTGGATTAGTTAGCCTAGGGGTTTACCGAGGTGCTGATCCTCTGAAAGAACCAACTTGCGTCTTCGGTTCATTTTCTCTGCCATTTTCTATTTCACTGACATCTGCCCTTATTTTTATTGCTTTCTAGTGACCTGGGGGCTTGCTGGGGTCTCCTTATGCCAGCATCTTAAAACTGGACCTTCAGTCATTTAAAAGCAGGCCTTCCTTCTTTTCCATGTAAGCACCAAAAGCAGAACACAGCCTTTAAGTACTGCTTAACTTTATTTCATATGCTTTGAGAACCTGACTTTTCACTATCATTTGACTCAAAATAGTTCCAAATTTGCCTGATGACTTCCCTGTTGACATACTGTTGTAGTATGTGAACATACAAAGACCCTGCTGCCCTCTCACTGTGTCTTCTGACGTGATCTTGCAGGCAGCGAGCAGAGCACGGACCATTGCAGCCCTCTCTGTATCCTTTGAGACTTCTGTGCAGCATGGGGCCACCTCGGTGAATGTCAGGCGTGCAGGTAGAAAGGCAGGCTCTGCAGGCGTCGGCTCTGGCCTTCCCCCAGCATCACTGGGCACGGGCGGGCGCGCATGCGTGTGTCTGTTTTGGGTGATGACAACGCCATGGAGATGACCTGTGTCTGTACTGATCTTCCCGCCACTCACTCCATCAATGGCTGACGTCTCCAACCATCACTCCATTTCCAGGCAAAGAGGAACAACGGAAACCACGGATACTCCCATCTGGTGGCCTAGTGACAGACAGGCTGCCAATCCAACGGCAAGCAGTCCTAATTCACAAGCTACTCTGTGGGAGAAAGATGGGCAATCTCCTCCCGTGCCACTGGCAGCCACTGCAGTGAGCCAGTTCTAACTCAAGAGCAAACGTCAACACCTTCAACTAACGCAGTCCCGCTGGTCCAAGCAGTTACACACATGGCTGCTAACGGGAAGGTCTGCAGTTCAACTTTACACTCTGCTCCAGCAGAGATTACAGCCTGGAGAGCCCTGTGGGGCAGCTCTACTCTGTCGCATGGGGTCACCTCAGAGCTGGAATAAAATGGATGGCACCCAGAGCAACCTTCAACAGCTACAAAGCCAGACAAAAGTACAAGACAAGAGTTACAGCCACTGACTGTGACCAGCAACACTCAAGGAGAATGAAAAATAAAGCATGACTGGGTATCCACTTCTCAAAGTCATACAGCAAGATGAATTTCAAGTGGATCAAACACGTCAACATAAAAAAGAAACCAAAACTACAGAAGAAAACTTGGAAAGATGTGATCAAGATAAATTTCAAACATGTCATCATAGCCATGACAAAAAACCTGGACGATATAACCACCAGCAACTTTCACATTCAAGTGTCACAACTACATTCAAAGGATAAACAGCTGAGACATGAATTTGCAATTTCTTTCACACAGAGGCCTAACCTTCCTAATCTAGAAGAAAAAGTCTCCAAAGTGACAGTGAAGATCCCCATCTACCTTAGAAACAGGTGACAAAAGTGCGAAGGCCCAGGAGTGAGGAAAAGGGCCATCAAGACGGGAAAGGTGCTCCATCTCCTAACAAGAAACCAAGGCACATCTGGACGGGTCCCACAGGACATGTTTCACAGGGACATCAGGGATGGGTCCTACAGGGACATCAGGAGGGTCCCACAGGGACACCAGGAGGGTCCCATAGGGACACCAGGACGGGTCCCACAGGGACACCAGGACGGGTCTCACAGGGACATCAGGACGGGTCCCACAGGGACATCAGGATGGGTCCCACAGGGACACCAGGGATGGGTCCCACAGGGACATCAGGAGGGTCCCATAGGGACACCAGGACGGGTCCCACAGGGACACCAGGGATGGGTCCCACAGGGACATCAGGACGGGTCCCATAGGGACACCAGGACGGGTCCCACAGCGACACCAGGACGGGTCTCACAGGGACACTAGGACGGGTCCCACAGGGACATCAGGGCGGGTCCTGCAGCCCCAAAGCTGTCACAGGACACTCTGTCAGCAACGATGTGGGAAATTTTACCATGTGTCCAGGAAAGTATAAAACTTTTTCAAGGGGACAGGGAACCAATCCATAGCTGACCCTTCAGTGGATTTTTAGAGACAGTTTAATCTCATGGGAAGAGATTTCCCATCTTTCTCCCATGGAGCAGCTGGTGGATTTGAAGTGCACGCCTTTGGGATGGCTGCGACGCTCCTTAGTGGTAAGTGCTGCCAGTGACAGCAACTCTGAAATGTTTATAGATGCAATGAACTCCTGTTTCTTGTAACCTAACTTTCACTTCAGAGTGTATGCTGCAGAGACATACTTGCCCACATACAACTGGACAAATGTATGAACGAGGCTACTCACTGCAGCGGCAGGTGGTGGAGAAAACTAGGAAGCCCTCTAAGTGGTTGACTAACTCAATTCAGCTATGTGCCCGTGTTGTTGCAGCAGTTACTAGGAGCCAGTCAACCTCGATTCGTACAGATTCTGAGTAGCAGACCGGAACCTTACTCCACCGTGCTCCACCACACCATCTATCGCATCTTTCAGCCACTGTGATGGTCAATGTCAGTCTTATCTATCTGAGAGTCTCGCT